TCTGTATTATCTCTCGTTCTCCCATAAGTCAATCCTGTCTGGCTTCTGCTCCTTTCTCCCACAACACTGCCTTCCCCAGAGTCACCAACAACCAAAGGCTCCAGCAAGGGCTGGCTTCTCTGCAGCTCTCCATCCTGCCCACCCCTTGGCTTCTAAGTTTCTCTTCAAAAGGCAATTCTGTGGCCCTGGACTGGACTTGGTCCCCACATGGGTCAGACTGGAATGCTAGGAGCATGAATGTCCCAGGAACAATCCATAAACGACTAGGGGTGGGAGTTGGTGGACAAATACATGGAACAGTTCTGAGGTATGTTTTGCATATCAGGGAGTCCCCGCTGGGACTGGGCCAGGAGTTGCCCACAGCTGGGGCCTGATCATTAACACACCTCTTATTGACTTGCCTCTCTACCCAATCTCACTTCCCTGCCTTCTCCTCTGCTTCCTGGGACCACCTCCCAAACAAATGGTTCACCCAAATCCTTGTCAAAATGCCTGTTTTCAACCTGGCCAGTGGGTACCGAAGGGTCTTGGGTTCCATTCCTGGTCAAGGGCATGTACCTGGGTTGCAGGTTCTATCCACACCCCAGTTGGGGCTCATTCAGGAGGCAACCAATCTCTCTCTCTCTCTCTCTCTCTCTCTCTCTCTCTCTCTCTCTCTCTCTCTCTGTGTGTGTGTGTGTGTGTGTGTGTGTCTCTCTCTCTCTCTCTCTCTCTCTCTCTCTCTCTCGCTCTCTCTCGCTCTCTCTCTCTCTCTCTTCCCACTCTCTCCCTCCCTCCCTCCCTCCCTCCCTTATTCCTTTTCTCTCTCCCTCTCTCCCCATCCTCCCACTCTCTCTAAAGAAAATAGGGGGGAAAATCCTCTGATAAGGATTAAGAAAAAGCAAAAAACACAAGCCTTGTTTTTGTGGAAACCAAACTAAGGCAGCAACAGATCATGTTACTCTTTCCATTGCCAACCAAAAGAGACCAGGCTCCTTTGCTCAGTCTCCAAGGCTCTTGATGGTCCTAATGTGTCTGCCTCTTCTGTATCACTTATCTCCCTTTCCAGCCTAGTGGTCACCAGCACCATGCACCACCCACAGCAGCTGTGTCCCCCATACACAGGAGTGCCCTTGTACCTTTCTACTTTATGCTCAATCAGCATTTTGTCTTGGCAGCCTTCCTTTGTGACTAGGGAGACAAATCTTGGACTTCCTGCATACTGTGAAGTCAGCTATGAGGAAGAAGTAGCCAGGATGGAATAGACTGTTGGCCCAGAGTAAGACCTTGTTCTGGAGAGGCTGCTATGCCAGCAAATCCCCTCCCTCCAAGGCCCTGCAGGCAGGCAGGAAGCCTCTTCTCCTTGCCCGGTGATCAGCTTGCACTGTGTTAACCTAAAAAATAAAAAGTTCTTTCAAAGTGAGAGGCAAACAAGCATTTACTTGAGATCAATAAGAACAGCTATTCTGTGCCATGGCTGGTGTGACTCAGTAGAGAGAACATTGGCCCCTGCTCCAAAGAATTGCAGGTTCAAACCCTGGCCCCAGTCAGGGCACATCCAGGAGGCAACAAATCAATGTGTCTCTCTCACATCGGTGTTTCTCTCTCTCTTTCCCACTCCCTTCCTCCCTTCTACTCTCTCTAATAATCAATACAAATTCTTCAGTGAGGATTTTTTTTAAAGCTATTCTAAGATGCAATAAATCAACAGAAGCCCAAATAGTACTGTGTTTAGGAGATGAATATTTAAGAGAGGAGAAGGGGAACAATACATCAGTAGAAGAAAGATGGTTTTTGTGTGCAAATAACATACATACTGATGTTCATTCTAAGCAATGTTGTTGATTTTTAGTGCAGAAGTTATCAGATAGTCATAATAACTGTTTTTCCTTGCAAAAAAATTTAAATATATTTATTGTTGATAATATTATAGATATCTCCCATCTCCCCTTCCCCCCTGCCTCTTTCTTCCCCTTTCTCTCAGCCTCTCTCCCTGAAAAAAATTTTTGGACACAGTATTTCCCTAAGCCCAGTCAAAAGGTTATTTTGTCCTGTTTTAACATCCCAAGGTTTGAGGTATCCAACTCCATTTTAAAGTGGCTCCATTTATATTATTGTTTACAACTGGCTCAAAAAAATGAAACTTGCATTTCTTCCCAATTCTGCATTCACTGACATCAAGTTGGTATCTTGAAATCAGCCATGGTGAGAGTATTTACACCATGGAAATTGGCAAATGCTACAAATCAAGGATTTAGTTTTCTTCAGGGAGCCACTACTGCTTTTGTCCCCATCCCTGCTCCCCACAACATGTGGCTCTGAATGTGATGAAATCCACACAATGTTTGCAGGTTTATAGCACAGATTCCAGCTCTAAGCTTCCTTTAGAATCAGGGCAGAATCAGCTTGTGGGAAGGATGCCAATTGGGCAGGATGATTCCAAGATGGATGTGGATGGAGCAGGGACCAGAGGGCAGATAGGTGAGGTGGAAACCAGAGCAGGAAGGAACTGGGAGGTCAGGGCTGTGTGTGTGTGTGTGTGTGTGTGTGTGTGTGTGTGTGTAGAAAATAGAAACAACAAGGGAGAGACAAGGAGAGAAAGAAAAGAAAAAAGTGAAGAGATAAAACACAAAACAAACAAAAAATACAGAGGGAGGGACGAAGACAGAGTAAGGCAAGGTAAATAGAAACAGAGGCAGAAACAGAAAGACAGCGTGAGAAAGGGAGAGTAAGACAGAAATGGCAAAAGCCAAGGGCAAAAATAGTGACAAAAGTGAAAACAGGGAGTGATGAACAAAGACACTCGGCATCATGACAGGTTCTAGGAGGTAACCAGGCACATACCTAGCTGACAGTGAAACCTGCTTCTACAGCATTCAAGTTTATTCTATGGAGAAGCTTTCAAAGAGGCCAGAAAACCAGGTATCCCTCATAACCCAGCCACCAGCCACAGTGGGAACACCTTAGGTGCCAATCATCTACCAGGATTAAAAAATGCTAATGTTTGATTACTTCTTCCATTTAGGCACAAAGTCCCTCAGTAATTCAATAATGCATTGCCCAATTACTCACATGATGATCAATTTTAAATTAGGTTAAAAATTTTTAGGCATGTAAATTGCTAAGTAGTTTGATTGTTTCTGAAGGAAATTCCCTCCTACGGCTTTATTCTCCCTTCTTAATCAGAAGTGAAAAACTGAGCAGATCTAGAGTCTGCCTGGTGGCTCCCCTGGCTGAATTCAGTACATCTGTGAGGTTAGGCTCCCCAATTCACACCCTGCCCCTTGCCTGGCGTTGTACTGAAGTCAGCTTTATGATGCAAAAAACAACAACAAACGACTTGTAAATCTTTTCCCGATTCTGCATTCAGTGGCATCATGTTGGTAGCTTGAAATTGGTTATGTACCCTGACTGGGAACCAAACTGTGACCTCCTGGTTCATAGGTGGAAGCTCAACCCCCTCCTCCCTTCTTCCCTCCCTCGCTCTTTACCTCTCTCCTTCCCTCCCTATAACCTGAGCCGTTACTCCCTATCAACCAATTAGCCCACAGAAAATAGCTAAATATAGTGCCTTATTCCTTGGCATCTACCAACTAGCACAAATTGTCCGTGCTCTTTCCTTGCTCAACTGTGTCGTTACAGTCATGAGCCATCTGCTGCACCTGGAACCTCATTGAGCTGCTCTCCAGCCTGTTTTTGTTGGGGTCTGCACTGATGAAAAGTAATTTGAGACCAGTTTGGAAAGACTAGTGTTCAAATCTTAGCTTCACCACTTCCTAGTGTGTGACCTCAGGCAAGTTATTAACCTCCCTGAGCCTCATGGTCCTTGTTTGCACAGTGGGATTAATATTGCATGGCTCACAGAACTGCTAGGATGGTCAACCAGCATAATAGGTATAAGATTCTAACCAAGACCTGGCACAGAGGGAGAGCTTGATAACAGTTCATCCCTTCCCATCACACATTCTTTGCTTGTCCCACAGTAGAACAGAAGTCATAAAATTATGCCTACCCAGAAAATCTGTAAAATCAGTAGTTTGTTATGGACAGAGTATCTATCCCTATGTCCTGAACCCCACCTTCCTCTTTGACCCTATGAGGCAGTCAGATGTGCTTCCTGGGGACACACACACACACACACACACACACACACACACACACACGAGGGCATGTGCACATCTGTTCACTTATGGTGTAGGTGCATAGGCCATAGGCTAACTGGGGCAGGAAGAATGGGCAGGGAGGTGGGAGCATGCAGTGCCCCCTTAACCCCAACATCCCTCCACCAGCCTAGCCTGCCTCTGCACTGTCCTCCTGGGCAAGAGGTACCCTGTGAGTGTGAAGAGGCTTCAGTGCCCTCTGCTGACAACAACACTACCTGCAACCCACATTCAACTCAATAGAGTCTGTGTGGCAAGCACTGGGTGCCTGGGGGACTCGCCTCCTTTTAGTGTGGGAAAAAGGAAAACCAGAAGGGGGGGAAGAGAAAGGATACGGAGGTTCAAAGAACCCCTTCTGTCTTCAAAGCCACCAGGATGGAGGATCCAGCTATGTGTCCACTGTAAGCACATCAGCTGCTTACAGCAGAATCACCTCCTCAGACGCGCTGAAGACTTCGCAGGGACACAGCCAGACCCCAGGGGATCCCTTGGCTCTGGCTGTGATGCCTGTAAATCCACTCAACAGAACTATACTCTGTTCCAGGGAAATTTTTCTGCCACCTCTGGAAGGGCCAAGGCCCAGAGGAGGAGGCAGGAGAACTTGATGGTAAAAAATGTGGACTTGGGAGCCACATGACCTTGGGTTCTTAACCTTTCCAAGACTCTGCATTCTTCAAAATGGATGGAAATAATACAATTGCTGTGGGAATTAAATAAAAATTTGCACAGAGCACAGCCCAGGGCCTGGCACACAGCAGGCACACAATAAACACAGCTATTATTATTACTGCTATTGTCTCCTTTCCCATGGGCTTCATGAGGGGTGAAGAACACAGTGTGGTCAGAATCTCTGCAGCTTACCTGTACCCGGGGAGGTGGGGTCATCAGAGTCCTGGTCTTTGTAGAAGGCCATAGGGTCACTCAGTCAGATACCTATCAGAAACAAGGGTTGAGATGGCCTTGTGGGCACTGACCCTTTTTCTCCTAGGTGGCTCTTCCCTACTCCCCAGAAGCTGCCCTCCTGGGCCAGGCTGCCTCTGCAGGTGTGCATCTGGCCTCACATGGTCGGTGAGGCCCTTCTCTGGGACATTTAGACTTAGAGTCACTGGGAACCAGTTCTGTCTTGTGACAAACCTTCATGTTACAGCACTTGGAAACTGTCAGTGGCTATCACTTCTGTATTGTGGACCAAATCAGTCTGCAGTGAGAGGAAAGAATGAGGCAGGAATAGAAAATGAAGGATTGAAGGGGTTTTCATGGTTCACATACCCCTGGTTCCAGATGCCACTTATGCCCACCTGTGTCACCACCCCTCCACCGGGTGAACTACTAGACTCCTACTTAGATTCTGTGAGGTGCTCCAAGGTCCCTGCAGTAAGCCCCCACTTCTGCTCAAGTGTGCATAAGTGGGGCGTCTGTTACTTGCAAGCAAAGGGACAAGGACATGGTCCTCAACTCTTTGGTCCCCTGCTGCCTCTCTTCATCTTCACTCACAGCTGTTCCCATCCTACACTTTCGTACATTCCCTAACCCAAAAAAAGTTCCAAAGCTGTTTTTTTTATTTTTGCTTTTAAGAAATGTTTTCTCAAGTGTAACATGTTCATTTATAGTCTCAGTTTGTTAGAAAACATGAAATTGTTTTCTAACAACTAACCCTCTTACCCAACTGAGTGCCAGGGCTCTGCAGGACACAGTAGGTGCACTGTACACATCCCTGCATTCCCCTCTGTTAGAACAGTCTCATCAGTAAGTAAGACTTGTCCCTGTTCCCCTCCTCCAGTCAACCCCATCTCTGCTCAGACAGACTGTGACTGCCTCTCCCTCTCTCTTCTATGGATCTCTGGGACTGGAGACTAGGAGAGGGATTGGAGTCTCATGAAACTGTCCTCTCCTGAGTGAATTATCACTGCTTCTCTGGCTACTAAAACCTGCGTCCCTCGGGAGGGCCTGTTCATCCTTTGAAGTGAGGTTCTCCTGGGTGGGCTCCATCATCACAGCTGAGTGCAGCTCTCTCTGTAGTGCTCTCTCTGCCTCCTTTCTGTCTCCTATTTCCCCTTTCCCCTACTCAGGCAGCTCAGTGTATATCACAGAGTCCCCAGATGAAACAGACACCCACCATGCTAGTCTTGCCTTAAAGTAAATTTCCTGTGGAGAGTAGCTTCTGCCAGTGACACGACAGTTGTTCCCCTTGCCCTTATTGCTCTTACACTCGCCGCTGGGTGTCGAGGTTGACAGAGAAGAGACAGTGCAATCCTCTTGCCAGACCTACAGAAGGGAGATGTGCGAATCTCTGATTGTAGGGGTACAAGGGCCCTGATATTTTCACATTCAGTTTGGGGTCTTAGCTGCCTTGCAGAACAGGAGGAAAAGTGCCAAGCAACATCCTGTTATGCTGGCACAGGGCTCTCCTCCCTCTCAGAGCCCAGCCAAACTAATCAAAAAGAAAGGAAAGCTAATTCCCAATCCAGGAATGGGAAATGTGTAAGATGCAGATCTAAGGGAGACCCAAAGGACTGATTCGCAACTTCAGTTTCTGAGAGAGCAACACTGTACCAGGAAAAGCAAGCAGACAAGATGCTGGCAGCATTTGCCTACTGCCCCCTAATTTGGAGGGCAGGGGATAGAACATGAGCTTGCAGAGAATATGCCACTTGCATATTCAATGCTGTGGATCAACAGGCTGTGGAAAGAGTTGACAGGGAGGCTTTGGGGTGCATATGGTCACTAGTTCAAGTAAATAATGGTGGGGGGGGGGGGGGAACAGGAAGCTCTCCCTGAATCAGCTTCTCCCTGATTCCACATTCCTCCTGTCCTGAAAGGGTGAGTGCAAGTTTGTCATGGCTACATCCGTTACCTGGCACATAGACCCTGCCTGTGTCCCACTGGTCCTGCCCAGCCAACTCCCAACTACACCCCAAGTAGACCCCTGCTTTGTACTCACTTCATTTAATTAAAATGTGAACTCTGAGAAAAGAGATTTGGAAAACAAGAAGGAAAGAATGAAATGAGTAGATGGCTGGCTAACAGGCAGGTAGAAATTAAAAGGAAACAATGTAAGAGCAAGAAAGGTTGTAAAGAAACTAATAATGTAGCTGCAGATTTAAAATTGCTTTATGATGGTAAAACAACAGAATGGAAACCACAGAAAACTGAATTGTTAAGTGTGAAGAACAGATAGGAGTTCTTTGAGAATGCAGGGGAAAGCCCAAAGGAAAAAAAAAAAACTAAAAGAGGGAGCATAATAGACATCAAAGGAGAAACCAAACAAATGAAACAAAACAAGAATCAAAGAAGAGAAGAGACAATATTTCTGAGCTGATGAAAACCCTGAGCCTATAAAGTTAAAAGGTACTTTTTTTTTTTTTTACCTAAGTCAAATTAATTTAAAAAAAAATTAAAAAAACACAAATAATTAGAAATACCATGCAGAATTTTGTCCATTTTAAGGGTAAAGAAATAAGAAACAATCCAAATTTTTGAAAATATATAATTGGAAGAAAGATTCCATGGAATGCTGGGAAGTGCTTATGTTGTAGGGGGAAAACTTCTATCATAAAACAAACTTGAAAAATGCTGAATGAATTTAAAAAAAAAGAAAAAATCTTATATTAAAGCTTTTATAGGGTTTTTAATATGTTTGTGTAACTTGTTAAATTAGTGATATTAGCAAGCATAGATTTCCAAATTTACTTGATGATAAACTCCTTTTCCATCTGTGCACTCATTGGAATATACTTTGGGAACCACTCTTCTACAGAATTTTGAGAGATCAGAGTTTATCCTAAAATTTCAACAATCTGCAGAGGCTATCAGCATGAAGACCACAGAAAGACTTTCTGAATGTCAGAATTTAGAATGCATGCCATGTATGGCTCCACCTTCCAGGGGGGGGGGGGGGGGCGACGACGACACAGTGCTCAAAGATGCACTCTTAGTATGCAGGAATAAAACAAAATAAGTAAAACTATAGTAAACAAAAAATCAGTTTGGGAAAATTGTTGTAATAAAAGGCCTGGAAGTGAATGTTAAAAACTTGTTAGCCTCGACATCCTTCTCAGCCTAGCCCCTGCCCAGGAAGCTGACCCTCACAGACCATGCTCCTCCAGACTCCCTGGTGGAATTCTGGGTTGGAGACTCAGGGCTGGGAGGAGAGTAAAGTCAGTATTTCCTTATTGCTCATTCCCTACTTTAGTGACCTCTCTCTGGCAGTGGTTTGTTATTCCACTTTTGCATTCATTCATCGTTTGCTTCTTATTTGTAACCTTATCATAAATTGAACCCAAAACAGCTTCATAAGCAGTATATCCATAGAGAGATATTGGCAGTCTCCAAACGCTATTAAAGTGAATTATGCTTCATGTGATAAGTACCTGCAAAACAGCCTGCATGCTGTATTTGTGGTTGAACCTCACTGTCAGCCAGCCTGGGGGTCAAGCTCATGCACATTAGCAATCAAGACTCATATACAAGAGTAGGGCCCCACAATGTGCATAAAGGACATTATTAGAGCACCAAGGTCAGGTGATCAGAGAAACTGTGCCACTGGGTCCTAAAGGTCACCTACTACATAAGGCCACCCTACCAATAGTGGAAGTCATTGTAGATCAACCTAATATCTCTCTATATAAAAGCCTAAGCAACCAAATGACCATTTGACTGGTTGCTATGACATGTACTGACCACCAGGGAGCAAACGCTCAATGCAGGAGCTTCCCCCTGGTGGTCCGTGTGCTCCCATAGTGGGAGCATTGCTCAGCTGACTGACGGGAGCCAGATACCAGACTCTTGCCTCTGCAGCAGTGCCCTACCAAGCAGCAGCAGTGGCAGGTGCAGCAGGGCCAGGATGAGAAGGAGTGGCACAGTGCCCAGCCCAAGCTCAAGCTCCTCCCTGGCTGCCTGCACTCTGTGCACTACTACAACCCCTAAGGGGGCCCAGATTACAAGAGGGTTCAGGCCAGGCTGAGGAACCCCACCAGTGCATGAATCCGAACAAGCAGCCAAAATGGAAAGAAAAAGAAACCTCAAATGAAAGAACAAGTGAATTTTCCAAAAGAAGAGTAAAACGAAATGGAGATAAGCAATTTATCATATAGAGTTCACAGTAATAATTAAAAGGATGTTCAAGAGCATAAAAAATATATATATAGAAACTATGAAAAACAAGCAATTGTAAATGAAGAATGACATAGCAGAAATATGGACTACACTGGAAGGAATAAACAGCAGATTAGAGGAAACCAAGGATCAAATCAGAGAATTAGAAGACAGCATAGAAAAAAATCACTCAGAGGACTGAAAAGTAAAAGCAATGAAAAATCAGGACAGTTTAAGGGTGATGTGAGACAACATGGAACAGAACAATATCTGCATCATAGTAGTAACAGAAGGAGAAGAAAATGAACAAAGAAGAAAAATTGTTTGAATAAATAATGGCAGAAAACTTTCCTAATCTGGTGAAGGAAAAAGTTATGCAAGTTCAGGAAGCACTGAAAAGAACCCAATGCCCAGCAAGAACCCAAATCATAAACAAAATGCCAAAAATTAAAGACAAAAGAATAATCTTAAAAGCAGCATGAGAAAAGCAATTTGTTACCCCCCAAAGAGCTCCCATTAAGCTGTCAGCTGGTTTCTTGACAGAAACTCCATAGACATGAAGGGAATGACATAAAGTATTCAAAGTAATGAAAGCAAGGATCTGAAATGAAGACTATTCTATTTAGCAAGGCTTTCATTAAAAATACATGGTGAAATAAAGAGCTTCCCAGACCACAAAAAAGGGGTAAAGGAGTTTTATTACCACCAAACCAGAATTACAAGACATATTGTGACTGTTGTAATAAGAAGAAATAGAGAGAAAAACAGGCATAAAGAATAAAAATGACCTATGAAGCTGTAAAAAAAAAAAAAAAAATGAGGTCTCTCTTACCCTTTGG